CACACGGTTTTACACCGAACATAATGTGACAGATAAAATAAAAATTATCATATCTCAAACACTGAATAATGTACACTATTGTTGCTTCCAAATAAGTTAAAAATGGCTGCCCACAGACGCCATAACGGGAGATATGATAAACTTGTTGTCTTTGGTTTAATTGTACTCACTGTGTGATGATCCAGGTGACTGATTTGCAGGATGACGCTATCAACTATCTTGACTGTTAAAAAACGAAAACTTCCCCAATCAAAAATGTCTTTACACACACAAAGTTCAAATCAACGTGAAATTAAACGACTTCATCAAACAGTAAATACTAACATTAAAGAAACACACAGCGGTTAAAGACTGTAACCTTGTGGTGTCTTCTACGCTCCACACTGACTTCAGCACACCTGCCTTTAATGAAAGGTTCTGGAGATGCCATGTCAGGTGGTGCATTAAAGTGACTCAAAAAATAATAGGAAACTAGGACTTGCTTAAGAAATATTTTGTTCATTTTCTAGATTTAAAAATCCTTTGAGTGAAAAAATGTTTTTTTTTTTTTTTTGCTATTCTTTTTTGAATGACACAGTTTCAGTACTTTTATCAATTATTCTGGTTTAACACAAGCTTTTTGCTCAGGTTGTGCAGATTTTAAAGATATGAAGCGTTTAAAGATAATCCAGGAAATGACATCACAATAAGCACCAGTGTCGGCACTGGTGGAGCGTTTCCGTCGCAGGATTCGAAGGGTTAAAGAGATGAAATAATCGTATTGTTAAGTTTTATTATTGTGAAAATGCTGATGGGTGATTGATGAGGTCGACGGCGTGGTCTGCAGCTGACTCCCGTCCTCACGTCTTCATTGTAAAGGTCAGACAGACGGCAGCGAATCAAACCATCTGACACGTTCACATTTTCATATTTCACATTATTTTGGCAGCATTCAGGAAATAGATTGGACCATGTGAGCACAATGGGGAGACATTATGAGATTTTTATTTTTGACACATTTGCACACTGAACCTGTGCTGAGCGGTATCTGTCCTGCAGCAGCTCATTTCCTCCTCCTGATATGAGTGAGCAGATATTGAGTGATTGAGCAGTCTGTGGGCGACGGCTGAGTGCCGCTGCTGCTGCATTAGCTCCCATTGTGGGCAGCTAAATGGAGGGCGGACTGGAAATCGCTGGGAGGGAATTCAGTGGAAGGACAGAAAGACGTCCACTTCCTCCTCACATCATAATGGACTCGTCTCTATCAGGACTCATTGTGCTGCTGCTTATTAGCAGTTATTGTGGTTTGTTGCTGCAGAGTTAAACTTTCTGCAACAATAGTTTTCCATTTAGAGACGTTGACAAAGCTGCTGGCTGCACTCTGTACATTAATGCTCTGTTTATTCACTCTGTGTGCACATTCGTCTTCTTATAAACCTCACATATAAAGGACACAACTATAGGAGATTATCTGGGGACCCCTGACAGGTCCTGGAGCCCAGGTTGGGAACCACTGGTTTAGACATGTTCAAGCTGACGTCTTCAAATGTCTCTAACAGTTTAAAACCCAGAGACATTCAGATTTCTGCATTCCTGCCATTATCAAACTAGTTTCTGATTAATTTCCTGTTGATTTAATGACCTAGTTATTAATTTATTTTATTTATTTAACCTTTATTTAACCAGGAAGTCCCGTTCAGACTGAAAATCTCTTTTACAACAGAGACCCGGCCGAGGTGGCAGCCAATCAAAACACATTTAAAATGCGACAAATGCAACATATAAAACAAAAATCCACAATAAAACAACAACTATTCAAACATAGTGACCTCTCGGGAAAAACAAGCACATGTCTCTGTCACCACGTTCTTTAGGATGCCCTTTAATTCATCAGTGGGTGTAAGTGTTTCTTATTCTAAATCTTTTAAATATTGTTCCATTAAATGCGAGACTGCAGGTGAAAACACACTCTGGGCAATTTTAAGATTTTGTTTTTGCTTCCATAATGTTGTCTGTCAGACTAGTGGAAAGAAAACATCAAAAAAACATATTTATGTTTATTTTAGTTCAGATTTCTCATCTTGAAATGTGTTCAAAAAGCTCATATTAATCATAAAATGCCTCACTTGCATATTTAAACATAAAAAGTCTGTTGTTATTTTGTAATACACAAAATAATTGTCTTAATCCTTCACGCTAAGTAAAAAGCAATGATTTTTTTTTTTTTTGGGGCATTTATTATTTCCTTGGGGCAACAATAACAAAAATATCTATGTATTTGTTTTTTAACGGACCCCATAGTTTATTAAACATCAATCTCTACCAAACAGATGAGATGTCACTTCATGATATTTGTAAAACAGAACGAAAAACTCAAAATTACAAACCATGTACTGTTATAATGCTACAAAGGACTAACTACACTGACTCATCTACCTCAGTTCATATGCACTAAAAACTGGAAATGTGTAACACCTTTCTGAGCACCCTGCAGGTGGAGCGTATGTTCTTGTAATTATTATACTTTTTACACCATATTGTGTGCACTTTATCTTGTACTATTTATTACTTGTCTATTTCTGACTTGAGTGTTTTTGCACAAGAATTGCTCTGCACCCAGACTGCATGCAGGTGTACAAATGGCAAATAAAGTCATCTGTCTTACGTATATGTTAGTATGTCAGCATATATCAATTTAATACCATAGAATTACTATTATTATCAGTACTAGTATCATTTCCACAAATTGATTCTAGATATTTACCATTACAGTGCTTTAAAAACCTCTAAGAAATGGTTCAAAATCATACTGATATATTTTTTCATCAATGGAATAACATTAAATATGTAAATATTCATCATTTTCTATTTTATAAATAGTGTAAATTTATTATCTTAGCATCACTACCTTTACCGTGAAAGGACAATTCAGTCGTTTGGTTGTGCTCGGCTTTAGACAGAAAAAAAATCATACTTGTAAAATTATTTCAGCATTTACATATTGGTTAACATTTAACGTATCTTTTAACAACGAGTGATCAAATGTTTTGTTTATTTTGTTGCATTAAGTCAATTTTAACACATTATTTTAGCCTCACTACCCTTACCATAATAGGACAGACAAAGCTTTTGATAGAGCAGGTTTTTAAAAAGTATTTGACCTTTATTAGACGTGAATTTTTTGTATAAAGTTGCATAAATCTGTTTAGCAAAACCTCTGAAACTCTAACATGTTTAAAGAAAAAAATGCCTACTTTTGTAAATCACACAGAGCCCTCACAGAGTGGCTTTTTTTGTTGCTAACTTCGTGTTAGGACAAACCATTGAAAGACACAGCGACATCTAGTGGATTTTCTGTGTATAACAAACCTAAACTGATCCGTACAGATAGCTCAGGTTGGGTTCATGGAGATATAGTGACTCAAGATTTTCTCTACCAAACTCTTGAGCATATCGTTAAATTTTTGCCATAGTGTCTTATTTATGTATTTTTGTCTGAAAATGTTTTGAATTTTACAATTTTCATATCTTTAAAGGCTATTTCTCAAAAATTGTTTCTCTCAGCCATACATTTCCACCTCAGTAAGACTTAAATAAAACAAACTTTCCTGTTTTGTTCTTGCTTATATCCTGCAGGTTTTTACAGAGGGGTTTGTTCATATATCAGCCTGATTTATAAAACATTTTATTCCTAAAAACATGGATGAAACCATTTTTATTTTTTTTCTAAGGCTGTTGAATTTTTTTTCCAATTTATGGAGTTATTAAAAAAAGAGATATCTAAAATTCCCTCTAAAATCTGAACCTGACTTATTTTAATGTTCAGATTTCTGTTCTTGAAAATTTTTCAAATAACTATGAGTTAAAAATTCAACCCTCTTCACCTGAGTGTCTCCTCTGAATAAACTCAGATATCACCACGCAAAGTACATAAACACGTCAACAACTCTTTTAGACGTACTGAGGATAAAACAGGAAATGATTCATCACACTGTTTTTTATTCTGCACAACATGAAATAAATGAATATCTGCAGGTTCGTATTGATAAGAAACTGAACATGTCAGTCAGAAGCTTTAAACTGTTTCTATCACATTTTATGAGAGAACAGGATTAATGAGTTTATTAAGGAAAGCTGTTTGTTCGACTCCTGACTTCCTTCTGGTGTTTGACAGTTGAAGAGTCTCACAGCTGTGAAACAGTTGAATTAACAGCTCATTTCTGCTGGTTACTGAGATTTTGGATGTATTTTTTACATTATTTTTAGGGTTTTCTTTAATATGTGCAGTCTGTGTTAGTGGTCTTGTTTTCCGGTGCATCACTAACGTACTGAATATGTGTCAGAGGTTCAGTGTTAATATTGTAGAGGAAGTTTGTGTTTCGTACGCTGTCTGATCTGTCTCCTGTTACTTGTCACTTTTTATTCATAAGTTGACTTTTTGACTTAAAATTGTCAAATTATCTTTACAGACAGTTCAGATGTGAATGTGTGACTTGATATTTGAATTCATTCAGCAGATAGAAGTTTGTTTTAACATCTCTAGTTTCTCATACTTAGTCATCCTGAGTTTGACTTTGTTTCTGTGACCCAACAACAGGATGTAGAAGACCTGCTGTGTTTAAATATTCATCTGTTAAATACTGTTTTCCTGCTGCAACTAGAGATCAATAAATAAATCTGCCAAAGATATTCACAAGATGAGAAAAAAACCCAGCAAATATTCACATCTACTTAATTTGAATTAAGTAGATGTGTAATTTGTAATTTTTAGGTATTTTTGCTTAAAATCATTTGAAATTAAAAAACAGTTTGATAATAGTTTGTTAAATTCCTGTTTTCAACCACATTTTGCTCACAATACGAGCACTTCCATACAATAGACCCTAAACGTCATTTCCAGTATTCTAAAATGCCCTTACAGTAGTTACACAGTTCTTACAATGAGAGGAATCAAAGAGAATATTGATCAAGTAAATCGCTGATCAATATGATCAATAACCGTGTCTCCTCCTCTGTGTCAGAGCTCCTCACAGGCTCGCAGTGTCCTGCTGGTGGAGGCATTCTACGGCGGCTCCCACAAACAGCTGATCGACTTGCTGCAACAAAACATTGGCGGCTGCTCCGTCTTCACGCTACCCGCTAAGAAATGGCACTGGAGGGCGAGAACAGCGGCGCTGTACTTCAGCCAGACCATCCCCACCTGTCCGTCATACAGGTGAGACTCACACAGGTAACATCATACTTCAGCCAGACCATCCCCACAGGTTTACGTTCGTACATGTAAAGTTCGGACAGGTCTACATTTGCATGGATAATGCTTGTAAAGGTAAACGTTCATATAAGTAACATTTTTACAGGCTAACATGCTTGTTTGTAAAGGTTAACATGCATACACATGATGTTCGTACAAGTTAACATGTGTACACATAATGTTCCTACAGGTTAACATGCATACACTTAATGTTCACACAGGTTAACACGCGTACACATAATGTTCGTAAAGGTTAACATGCATACAAATGATGTTCGTAAAGGTTAACATGCGTACACATAATGTTCGCACAGGTTAACACGCATACACATAATGTTCGTAAAGGTTAACATGCGTACACATAATGTTCGTAAAGGTTAACATGTGTACACATAATGTTCGTAAAGGTTAACACGCATACACATAATGTTCGTAAAGGTTAACATGCGTACACATAATGTTCGTAAAGGTTAACATGTGTACACATAATGTTCGTAAAGGTTAACATTCATACACATAATGTTAGTAAAGGTTAACATTCATACACATAATGTTCGTACAGGTTAACATGTGTACACATAATGTTCATACAGGTTAACGTGCATACACATAATGTTCGTACAGGTTAACATGCATACACATAATGTTCATACAGGTTAACATGCGTACACATAATGTTCATACAGGTTAACATGCATACACATAATGTTCACACAGGTTAACATGCGTACACATAATGTTCGTAAAGGTTAACATGCGTACAAATGATGTTCGTAAAGGTTAACATGCGTACACATAATGTTCGCACAGGTTAACACGCATACACATAATGTTCGTAAAGGTTAAAATGCGTACACATAATGTTCGTAAAGGTTAACATGTGTACACATAATGTTAGTAAAGGTTAACATTCATACACATAATGTTCGTAAAGGTTAACATGCGTACACATAATGTTCGCACAGGTTAACACGCATACACATAATGTTCGTAAAGGTTAACATGCGTACACATAATGTTCGTAAAGGTTAACATGTGTACACATAATGTTCGTAAAGGTTAACATGCATACACATAATGTTCGTAAAGGTTAACATGCGTACACATAATGTTCGTAAAGGTTAACATGTGTACACATAATGTTCGTAAAGGTTAATATGCCTATACATAATGTTCGTACAGGTTAACATGCGTACACATAATTTTCGTAAAGATTAACATGCGTACACATAATGTTCGTAAAGGTTAACATTCATACATGTAACATGTAAAAGTTTGTGCATGTAGCATTTGTACAGGTTAACATTTGTGATATGTGACACTCAAACAGGTAATGCTAATGCATTCTTACAGGCTAATACTTGTACACAACAGTTGTAGTTTTACACTCATACACACAACAGTTGTGCAGTTTCAAACTTGAACACAACAGTATTGCACTTCTACACACAACAACGTTTGTACAGTTTTACACTTGTACACACATCAGTCGTTCAGTCAAACACTTGCACAGATGTTGCTGTCACTGATTAATCTCTTTCTAATGTCTGAATAATAAATATCAAATTTTGTTCAGAACACTCAGATTTAAATAGATCTTATATTGTATTCAGATGATTTTTGACCCTGGAGTTTAATCAGTGAAGTGATGATGAGGAGTGTGAGGAAGATTTCACTGCAGTGACTCTGTGGTTTTAAAGCTGCTGAGTCAAATGTGATCATATCAGTGACTAAAGGTCAAAGACAGCCTGACTGTGATCTTTGATACTGAGAGAGGCTGCAGGTTGTTTCACTTTGACTGATTCTTACATTGTGTTTTTAAAAGGGCATCATACACAAACAGGATTCACTGTTTTACTGAGCTGCCCTTTGATTTCCTCCTCCTCCACTTTAAACTCTTCACTCCTCTATTACAATATTTATTCATTAATTATTATTGTCACACCTTAAAAGTCTTACTTTTTTAATTTATCAGAAACTATTTCTAAATTTTTATTTTCCATTTAGTAAGAAATCAGAAATTTCTGCAGCAGCAGAATCTCATAACGTCCAAAGTGTTCCTGCAGTATTAGAATCTGATTCTTTACTTACAGTCAGTTATTTGATGAAGTGAGCTGTGACATCGAGACATGTTTTCATGAAATAGATTCATGGCTCCTCTGGTTTCAGTTTGACGAGCAAACTTCACCACTGGACTGTAGGAGTTCTGTTAGTTTATGACGTCTGTGTGAGGAGGTGTTTCCTTCTCGTTTGTTTGAGCTTCAGTTCAGTTTCAACAGTTAGTGTGTTTAAATCAGATGATTCCTCTGTTAGTCCACGTGGATTTGTTCACTGAGTCCTGCAGGTCTGAACACAGGAAGTCCTCTCACTCTATTCTTGGCAGTGAGCAGAATAAAAATAGAGGAGGCTCATCTGGTTTGAGTCAGAGCAATTCCTGTTCCACTTCTCTACCACAGGCCCAAAAAAAGACTCGAGCAGGTTCAGGAAATGAGTCTAATCCAGGTCTCAGAGGCTCGCAGTGATCAGCAACGGCTCGTGGACAAACCACATCAAAGCTCCCGGGTTTACAAAGAAAAAGTGATGAAGAGGGGGGCAGAGGTTTGAAGTGGAGGACAGGGGGAGGACGAGGGAGGACGGGGTCACTCAGAGAGATCCAGAGCTTCAAAGACTCTAGATTATGTAGTTAATGATACATCATCATCATCATCATCATCATCAGAGGACTGCAGGATCACCCACAGGGGAAGACCTGGTCCTGGTGCTCCACACCATCATCATCAGCCGAGGACGATCTTCATCTCCAGACTCGTCTGTGTCGACTCCAGAGATTGTTCTTATTATGTCTCAGTGACTGCCGTGACCAGAGGTGTTGTGTTTTCAGGGTGTCCATCTGTCTGTCTCGTCCACATGAGGAGGATATCTCACGAACACTTTGAGGGAAGTTCTTTAAATTGGCACAAACGTCCACTTGGACTCAATGATGAACTAATTAGAATTTGGTGGTAGAAGGTCAAGAGTCAAGGTCAGTGTGACCACTTCTGTCTCATTCTTCTGAACGGGGTATCTCAAGAACACCTTGAGGGAATGTTTTTTTTAATTGGGCACAAACGTCCACTTTAAGTTAAGGATGAACTAATGAGATTTTGGTGGTCAAAGGTCTAGGTCACTGTGACCTTGCATCTGTGTCATTCTGGTGAACTTGAAATCTAAAGAACACCCAAAGGCAATTTCTTTAAATTTGGCACAAATGTCCACTTGGACTTAACGATGAACTGATAAGAATTCTCTGGTCAAAGGTCACTGGGACCTCACAAAACATGCTTTTGATCATAACTCAATAATTGATTTGCTAATTATGACAAAATTTCACACATATGTCTAATGGGATAAAATGTTGAAGTTATTACATTTTATATTCACAAGGTCAAAGGTCAACTTCATTGTGACATCATAATGTTTTCTGGCCTTGACTCAACGTTATACCTGGCCTCAACCTCCGTTCTCTCCCCAGGTCGCTCTGGTGAATGGGAAACTCAGTTTTGAGCTGCAAAACCTCTTTTAGCATCGTTAGCTATGTTATCACTATTACCTCTGTTAGCAGTGTCAGAATCGCCAGTGGTGCAAACATAGTTAATGATGCTAAATGGGGTTTGAACTGCAATGACCTTGGGGGAGACTGGAGGGTGGGCATCATGTTTCCACAGCAACGCCACCACGAGTTGGAACAGTGCAGAATAAGTGGCACTGTTAGCTAGCTCCTACCTGACGCAGGTGGCGCACAGTGCAGAGCACTAATGTTTGCTAACTGTTGGAGATCGGAGGGTGGGTAGAGGACGCCATTTTTCTGCATATTAACATAGTTAGCCAGCTGTCAGTAAGCTGTCAGTAAGGCCAAAACAAAAGGGAAGAAAAGACAAATTGTTAAGATGTCATCACTTCTAAATGGAAAGAGCCTTAAAATGTGGTGCTGAAGCTCACTGAGGCAATGCAGCGGACTGAAAACAAAACGCCTCTTTGATTTCACCTCATTTTGTGTGTTTTTTTTTTTTTAATGATTCTTCTAAAAATTAACGTTATCAAAAGCAAAGTGAACCCAAACTGACATCCCTGAATTGAATATGTTGGCACTGAGCTGTCTGTCTGGACCTTCATGTTGACTCCAGATGTGGTTCTCAGCAGGTTTCTAGTTACTCTACACATAATTTTCCTTCCATTAACATCATGTTTCTGTCTTTCTCCTCAGAGTTCTGTTCAGCAGCTCAGTCCTGAACCTGTGTGAGCTGGTAGCTCTCAGACCAGATTTGTCCCGTCTGAAGAAGGTTCTGTACTTCCACGAGAACCAGCTGGTTTATCCAGTCCGCAAAGACCAGGAGAGAGACTTCCAGTATGGATACAACCAGATCCTCTCATGGTAAACACCCCAGACACATAGGAACATCATTGATAAAACCAGGTCCCAGAACCCATAATTTATTGGTTAACAATAATAAGCCTCTGGGGACAAGGACCAACATTTCAGAAGATCTGGTGTAGCCGAACAGATATATCTAAGACTACCTTTTCCATGCACCGCTCATCTCAGCCAAGCTCTATAAACAGATATTTTCATTTTCATTCATTTATATAAAGCCATTTCAGTAAAATGCTAATTGGTTGTCAGACGATAGTTGATGGGTTCTGAACTTGCATTTCGCCCAATGTGTTCTGCCTTTCCATGCGGACTCTTTACCTGCCCCTCAAACCTGATTGGTCAGTATTATGCAGGATTTATACTTCTGCGTCGAATCGATGCCATAGCTATGGTGTAGGCTCTGCGTCGACATAGAGTATATGACAAACCCTGCGCTGTAGCCACCTCCCCAGAAATATAACCACACATTGTGGCGACGCAGACCTCCTGTCTATTTCTGTAAGCTGAAACCATTTCCCTCAGTGGAAACAAAGCTTTTATTTACTTGAATTTGAATAAATTGTAAAGACAATAAAAATATAGTATTTTAAGTCTTGTGTGTGATTTATCCTGGCTTCATATGAGCAGAGGAAATCTCCACTTGTTGCTAGGCTAATTTATACAATATAAGATGCCATAGGCTTGTGCTAATAACGTTAAAACGTTATATTTGTTTGGAAGATATGTTCAGTATAAGACGGTTGTTTTGTCAGTGAACCTTGTGAGCTGTAATGGAGCCGAATTTTGTAACATTACCTTCTGTTGTCCCTGCTGTCATATGAGTAGAGGAAAAGTTAGCTAGCTGCTAGGCTAATTTATACAATGTAAAATGCCATAGACCTGTGCTAATAACATTAGCATGTTGTATTTGTGGTGAAAATGTGTCCAGATAAAGACAAGTGTTTGTCTGTGAATGCTACAAGTTAAAGTGAAGCTGATTTGTGTACTTGTGTTTGAAATTGTCTCTATTAAGCCATGTTTAATGTGTGTTTAATCTGCGTTTAATCAGTGTGTTGAATCAAATAAAGTTTACAGCACTTCACAGAAACCCCACCACCAGCTAGTGTTTTAGAGGTGTAACCTCAGAGTGACACAAACACACCACTGCACAAGTATAAATAATCACAAGGTAGGGTCTGCATAGAGCTGATACACAAGTATAAATCCCACCTTACTCAGCCTACAAACAGAAACCACAACACTTCCAACACCAAAATCTTGTCCCGCCACCTACAGATTTTTCATTCATATGCAGATAATTTTTTTATAGAGATAAGCTCCTGACAACCACCAGAGTCTATAGAGTTAAAGTTTGGTGTGTATTCATCATAAGTGCTTTAATAATACATAAGTGCCTCATCAATCTTTAAATAACCAGCTATAAAATGTCTCTAAACCTGAGCACTGTTTGTTTGTTCTTCTCAGCTGTAACAGTTTGTCCTAACGAGCTTGTCAGGCTGCACGTGATTGGTTAACGAGCTGCTCTGACATGATTGGTTAATTAGGCAGCGTGACATGAGGCTGTGTGTAATTGAAGTGGGTCTAGTTGTCATTAATCAGCCATCTCACAGTAACAAGCAGAAGAGTGATGGTTGTTGATCTGCAGGGCAGCATGTCAATAAGTCAGAGTCGTCTAATGTCCTTACTGCAGCATTAAATAACAGCTGATCATTAAGAGACTCTGATTGGATCGAAGCCACATGACTTCACTCATTTCAATTAGAATAAAACATACATCAGCCTCCTCTGCAGCTCAGTGCGTCACTGTTGTATATATCAAAATAACATTAAATAAAACCTGCAGTCTGAAGGATACAGTTCAGCTTATTAGAGCTGTAACAGAATCATACAGGCTGATACATCAGCTGATATCAGCTTCTCACAGATATTAATCAGCTGATCCATGAATATTAAAAATATCTCACAAGGTTGGAGCTCATTTAGTTAGTTAGTTTGTCCACCAGAGAATTTTTACATTGTGAAATGTTACGCTCAGTTTGTGTCTGGGTTACACTTCTTTAATAAAACAGATTTTAGAGATCAAGAATGTTGACAGAAATGATAAAGTCATTATTAAAATTGTTTCATATAACTTTTTGGCAATCTACTAATCATTGCAGCTCTACTACAAATAGGTCTTTTCAATAAATCAACTTGAACATTTGGCTAACTGTATTGTACCGTTAGCCAACTTGTTTTACTGTTAGCTAGCTTGTTGGACCATCAGTTAACTTTTTGTACTGTTAACTAACTTGTAACATTACTGTCAGTTAACTTGTTGTTACCTCAGGTAACCTTTTGTACCATTAGCTAACTTGCTGTACTGTAAGTTAAGTTGTTGTGACAATTGTTAACTTATTGCATTATTAGTTAACTTGTTGTTACATTAGCTAACATTCTATACTGTCAGTTAACTTGTTGTAACTTTAGCTAACCTGTACCATTAGTGAACTTGTTGCACCTTTAGCTAACTTGTCACACCTGTAGCTAAGTTGTTGTACTGTTAGTTTACTTATTGTACTGTTAGTTAACTTGTTGTACCATTGGCTTACTTGTCACATAAGTTAAATTGTCATACTGTTGGCAAACTTGTTACATTAACGGTAGCCAACTTTTACCATTAGTTGACTTGTTTTTACGTTAGTTGACTTGTTTTACCGTTAACCAATTTTTGTACTGGTGGCAAACTTGTCATACAGTTAGCTAACTTGTTGTCACATGAATGTTAGCCAACTTTTAACATTAGTTGACTTGTTACGTTTGTTGACTTGTTGTACCGTTAACTAATTTCTTTACATGGTGGCAAACATAGCTTACTTAGCTAACTTGTCACACCTGTAGCTAAGTTGTTGTACTGTTAGTTTACTTATTGTACTGTTAGTTAACTTGTTGTACCATTGGCTTACTTGTCACATAAGTTAAATTGTCATACTGTTGGCAAACTTGTGACATTAACGGTAGCCAACTTTTAACATTAGTTGACTTGTTGTTACGTTAGTTGACTTGTTTTACTGTTAACCAATTTTTGTACTGGTGGCAAACTTGTCATACAGTTAGCTAACTTGTTGTCACATGAACGTTAGCCAACTTTTAACATTAGTTGACTTGTTACGTTTGTTGACTTGTTGTACCGTTAACTAATTTCTTTACATGGTGGCAAACATAGCTTTACTTAGCTAACTTGTTGTAACATTAGCCAACTTCTCCTACAGTTAGTGACATACCGGTAGATAACTTGTTGTGACATTGGTTAACTTGTAACATTAGTTAAATGGCGTAACATGAGATAACTTGTTACATAAGTTCACTTTTTGTCCTGTTAGCTAACTTGTTGTTGCAATAATTAACTTGTAACATTAGTGGATTCATTGGTATTTTAGTTGACCTTTGTACTTATAACTAATTTCTGTACCGTTAGCTAACTTAACCCACCTTTAGCTAACTTGTTGCAGCTTTAGTTAATTTGATGTACCGGTAGCAAACTTGTTGAAACATCATTACAGTTGTAGCATTAGTTAACTTGTCGTAATGTCAGCAAACTTGTTGTAACATTGGTTAACTAGTCGTAATTTTAGCAAACTTGTTGTAACATTGGTTAACTAGTCATAATTTTAGCAAACTTGTTGTAACATTGGTTAATTTTTTGTAACTTTAGTTAATGTTTTGTACTGTTAATGAACTTGTTGTATTGTTAGTTAACTTATTGCACTGTTACCTAATTCACAGGGTCCGAAATTAACATCTGCCAAGTTATGGCACTAATTATTTAGAAATAAATAAACTGCAAACACAATCAAACTATTCATACCAGGCTTTTAATTACAAATGTATACGTTACACTTGAAGGCATTTATTTTGGCCTGTAAAAAATATCCTTGGCTGGTGAGTCAAAAAGTTAATGTAGGACACAGCTGACGTCTTTTTTACTGTTAGCTGATCAGATGTTTTATCTCCTGTGTGTGGACAGCCTGGTGTCGGACGTGGTGGTGTTTAACTCCGTCTTCAACATGGACTCCTTCCTGTCCTCCATCTCATCCTTCATGAAGAAGATCCCAGACCACAGACCCAAAGACCTGGACCTGCTCATCCGGCCCAAGTGTGTGGTTCTGCACTACCCGGTCCAGTTCCCTGATGTCTGCAGGTCAGTGTCATCGCATCATGTCCGTCTGTCTGTAAACCTTGACACTTTGACATAATCAAACCAAGGTGAACACACTGTAACACTGCAACAGATATTATTAAATGTTTCACTGATGCTGACACAGTGTCAGTCAGTGACAAGCTAACACAAAACAAAATCAAATAAAATATGCAAACTACACTCATCATTCTTATGCGTCTGCTAGTCGCTGATTTTGGTGCAGAGACTCTGCTGATGTTAGCCATCTTGATGCTCACTGTCTTCCACCTGTCAATCACTGTCGTTAAACAGATGTTTGAGATATTGATCCGTTCTGGCTCTAAATCTAAAGACTGTGGATTATTACTAGTGTCTGTGTGCTTCAGATCAGCAGGTCTGAGATCAGCTCACACAGTCTGTTCTCTGTTACAGTTTAAATGAACAACAGCTGTTTGCACACATCAAAGTGACAAAGTCAGTCTAACAGTGTTCACTGGTTATGCTGGGAGCCCACCATCACAGTGCTGGTGGGGTTTTGTTGTACTATTCAGTTCAGTAAAAAATGAGTTTTTCTCTCAGAGGAGATGAAAGCAGTCACATGATGATGGTGGTGTGTTATATTTAAACTTTATTGTCTTTACAGCTGACAGTCTGTGTTACATGAAGTCTGAGAGCTTGACATGTTCCAGTTTTCAGTTTAAAATCAATTAAATTAATAATAAATTTTATTTTTGTTTTATTTATGATATTCAGAGCTTAAACACACAATGTTTAACACGGTGCTTTAACTTTATGTCTTACATTAAACATATTGGAGTTTTAACATGTAGATTTAGCATGTTTCTGCCCAGAAAGCTAACATTAGCATGCTGGTGTTTCAATATGTTGCCTTTCTCGCCTGCTTATTAGCATGTTAATGTACTGGCAGTTTATTAAAAACATTTACTCTAAAATTTAAGCATAATACCTTTTTGATAATAAGCTAACATTAGCATATTAACGGTGTATGTGATGTTTACCTTTTGTAACATTTGGTGTGCTAGCTTGTTACTATGTTCACTATCTTAGCTTAGTGTGTTAGCATAGTGACAGTGTATGTGATGTATACTTTAATCGTTTGAATACTTGTGTTAGTTTGTTAACCATGTTCGCCATCATTGGTGTTAGCATACTAACATTAGCATGTTAATGTACTGTCAGTTAATTAAAAACATTTAATATAATATTTAACATAATACCTTTTTGATAATGCTTATTAGCTAACATTAGCATAGTAATAGTGTATGTGATGTTTACCATATTTTTTTAACATTTGTTGTGTTAGCTTTTTACCATGTTCACCATTTAAGCTTAACATGTTAGCCTCCTAACATTAGCATGTTAATCTACTGGCAGTTAATAACATTTACTGTAAGATTTAGCACAACACCTATTCAAAATGCCAGTAAGTTAACGTTAACAAGGTAATAGTGGATGTGATGTTTAGTCTAAAGGCCTTATTTGGAATATTTAACGGGAATATGCTGTTTTCATGACCCGCATCACATTCAGTATATTGTGATATTCAAAATAATAGTTGAATATTAGTGCACCTGTAACTGCAGCCACTGTTACTGCAGCTCTAAACAAGATAGATGAAAAAAGAAGAGTTTTCAGATTTCAGTTTAAAGAGATTTTATTCCATGTATTTGCTGTTAATGTTAGGAACATGTCTGTATATGATGTTTAATCTCTGTGTATTAGTACTTCCCCTCTCTCTGTATATGTACAGTATATATATATGGTGTGTTGTGTGGTGGTATCGGTGGCAGTGAGCTGCAGGATGACTCGGCCTCTCCCCTCCAGTGTTTCTCAGCTCATTTTCACATGCTAATGTGTTTGATCCAAAGCAAACTCACAGAGTGTAAGTAAGTGATGATATGCATGGCCGACAATCCCTCCACACGCCCGCGGTCCTTCTACTAAACACTGCTCCGTCCGGCTCTTTGAAAATATAAAACGCTCACAGAAACAAATGCGGGGGAGGGGGAGGTGGGGGAGGAGGTATTAATGCGTTCACATGGAGGAGGATTCATGCTGAAGAAACCGCACTGGCCCAGAGGGAAACACCAAACCTAAACAAGTGTCTTCTTCTTTCAGTTCCCTTCTGAACGCAGCAGTTACAGTTAATAATCTGTCAAATATAAACTGGTTATTCCTGCTTGGTTTTGATACAAAACTGAAACTAGTGATTATTGTCAGTATGGATTAATGTGCTGGTTAAATTCTGCATCAGAACCAGTCTGAAGAAAAGGACAAATACTGAGTCCAGCCTGCAAACTGCAGCTGATTAACCTTATTTCTAGAAAATGTCAGTAAATAAAACTTAAATATCGTCATAACTAAAGTGACGTCTTCAAATCTTATTTTGTTTGACCAACAGTCCAACACTCAAAGATATAAAATGTATTGTGATATAAAACTGCAACTCTGAGACATCAGATACCCTGACACCAGTATGGAAGTAAATAAATAAGATAGTAGTAGTAATAATAATAATAATAATAATAAGAGACATAAGTGTTTGAATTTTACAGCCACTGAACATTTGATATTGAAATTTAAACACCACTGAAATTATAACATTGAAATATTGAATAATGTTAATTGATTTTTTTTGTTATAAATTCACTCCTTTGTTACCTATATATTATTTTTAAGCAAAGTTTCACCTATATACATTAATTTAGATTCAGCTTCTTTCATTTCTTATACTTCAGCTGCTTTCAACATGTCAACCAAAAACTTTAATCTGACATTTAAAAAAATACACATACAAAAATGATCATTGTAACATTTTATATTTGAAGACTTTTCCAGTGTTTGCAGCTGTGATTTTCAGACTCCAGTTTTCCTCAGATAACCTCGTCCTCTCCTCGTCCTTTCTCGTAATTTCAGTCTTGATGATTTAAAATGCTCCTCAGAGTCAAATCCAAGTTTGCTCTGCAGATCAGTTCGTCCTGTGTCGTCACACTGAGGCAGATTCATGAAGACGCTGGTCTAAAAGAAGAAAACAAAAGAAAAGCGGGTCCTTTGTGGAGGGAGTCTGGTGTGTGTGTGAATGCACTGAGGGCTCTTTGGCCTCGTCTTTGGCCTCTTTGTGGTCGGTGTGTTTGTGGTTTCCATCTATCAATCGGCCTTTGAGTGGTGGACTTTTGTAATTTAATAGTGATTGACCTGAGCCAGCAGAGACCTGCGGCGGGACACAAAGACATCACATCCATCACGGCCGACTCTGCGAGTCGAACCAGATCAATGTGGACACCACGTGATCAGCAGGTGTCTGATTGTTTTCTCCTTCTGTGCTGCGAGCGGCCTGGTGTCGCTCTTTGTGCAGCTGTCGAGGTTCTGCTGGTCGTCAGGTGCCGCAGAGTCAATCTGATTCATCCTGGTCAGAGGTTTGTTTCTGCAGTCGCCCTGAAACTGATCTGATTCAAACCACTTTGATAATGATGGATGGATCTCTTTATGGGTCCTGGGTACTGAGAGCTGGTCTGGGACCTGAGGGTGTCCTGGTCCAGGTACAGACCTCTTTTATTTCAGCAAGTCGTGTCTCTATAAACAAGTTATAATTGGGACTAGTTTTCTCGAGTCTCTTTCGGATCCGTTCTTCTAATCATGGGTCTGTGTAGGACCAGGTCCTGGCTCCCTTTTGGTCTCATTTTCCTCAGGTTTCTGTCAGATCAGGTCTGACTGTCCTCACGTCTGTTTCAGGTCCAACATTTTTTTTGTTTTTACAGCCTTAGAGGTCTCGTTCCATGTGGTTCCTGGTGACTTAGAGCTGGATCTGAGGTATATTCGGTCTCAGTGGGTCCAGTTAGCAGCAGGTCTCTGATCTGTACATTAGACTCTGAAACATAAAGAATGACTCATTGTTGGAATAAGTTTCTTTGGGTCAGATTTTATGGTCCTCATTAATTCAGATCAGGTCTGCAGGGTTTTTACTGGCTCTAAATAAGGCAGAGGTGGCACCATCCACCATACAGAGACAAAACAACAGTTTTTTGCTAGTGACCCATTGTTAGCTGTAGCATGTTTATTGCATAAATTACCTTAGTGGCTAGTGGACTTATTTTCCTCTTCTTAAGCTTAACAAATTACCTGTGGCGGTATTATTTTTCTTACTCACTGTTGAAATCTTGTGTGCATTAAGAGCCCTTCGAAGCCTTTAATCACAATCTTCAACGACCATGTTGGATTTTAAATGCCGCTGAAGTACGAGACACTTTGTGCCGTGTGGTATGAACGTGAACTTGACAGCAACTCAGTCAAAAGTTAACCACTAAAATAAAAACATAGCCTCTGAAATGTGGGGCACATTGAACCTTGCAGATTATCTGACAGAAATTATAGCAATTCACTTTAAAGTTAATAAAACAACAAACAATAAAACATCTCAAAAAGATCAATTGCTGCTGAATTCATTTTCTAGATCAAAGTACTACCAAACTGCACTGGTTTTGTGAGAGGACATCGCTCCAATTTCCCGACGTACTGTTTTAAAACTCCAGTCTACCCGAGCGTTACCGCGGGGAGGGGGACTGCTGTCTGACGGCTCTGTAGCACCCACTAGTGGCGGGCTGCTGCATGACAGTTAGGTTGCCTTGTACATGAATAAAACACTAATAGGTTTAATTGACTAATATTTCTTGTGCCCATTAGCGAGGGGGCAGACATTTGATCGTTTATACGTCTAATCTTGCGCATCCCTAAACGTTACGTCGTGTTTTATCTCATAACAGCATTGTTTACATACGGGATGTTCTCTGTCTATTGACCCTTTTTTTTTTTCCAAAATCCAAAATATTTCCACTCTGCTGATTTATTCCTGAGTAAATTACGTTATCTTCATGGTCTTTCTCTCGGCTGTTTGCAGTCTGCCTGACGCTGTCGGACGGTGACACAGACTTTCAGAATAAAGTGAAACCTAAAGATGATCATATGGATTGATGCTTTCACTTTGCATCGATGATACTGGATCGTTGATCACTGAAGCGATCCAGATGGATGGATCGTTACACCCCTAATGTAAACATGTTTATTTCTACAGTTTCTACGGCCTCTAGTGGGCATTAGAGGAACTGCAGTTTTATTGATTTTAAACTACATGTCACTTGTAAACTGTGGTGGCTCTGTAGTGTCAGACAGAACAGCCAGTAACGAAGGAACTCTTAAATTTAGTGAACATAACGTCCCTGGATAAAATAATGTTATCGGGTTTCTGTAGGAACGTGTAGTTTGGCAGAATCATAGTTTGTTGTTTTGGGTCTATTCATAGAATAATATGGTCTATAATACATAATATATGAACATGTGACCCAGTAAATAAAACCATAGATTACCAGTTTACCCTGATATATGTGTGTGTGATTAAAGTGGAATAATAATTAATATTTCATTGTAAATGTATTTATACTCTGTGTGAGTGTGATGTAACAGAACGTGATCAGCCTCTGTGGATTTTATGTTTCTGATTTGTTAACTATCAAAGTGAAAATGTAGGTATGGTGACATCACTGGTCTGTGGTGCTACAGAGCAATGCAGAGGAATTGATCAGTGATCAGCTGATTGATTGAGACTGATAGAAGAGGAAGAGTCAGCTTTATAATCCTGATGTTTGTTTGAGTGTGTGTCTCTGGACTCGTCTCTGGACAGTTTCCCTCCTGAAAACACTTCATGATGATGTCACAGCTGAACAGCAGCCAGAGACTGTGTGTGTGTGTGTGTGTGTGTGTGTGTGTGTGTGTGTGTGTGTGTGTGTGTGGCATTAAGGACAAATCACAGGCGCTGGTTTGATCCTGAATTCGCTCCTCTTCATCACAGTTACTTCAAACACACATATGGAGCCAATTGTGGTCGATTCTGGCGCAGCAGCCACCGACAAACACCCCCCACAACCCCACCGCCCCTCCACCCTCCACATACAGTACGTTGAGCTCCACCTCCAGTACAGTACAGTGGTGCAGTGAAGGTGGAGTCAGACAGGAGGAAGGTGGTCGCCAGCTGTTTCCATCCCTTCAGATAAAACCTGTGATTAGGGGAACTTATTGTCTCATGACTTTACAGTACAGGCCAAAAGTTTGGACACACCTTCTCATTCAATGAGTTTTCTTTATTTTCATGACTATTTACATTGTAGATTCTCACTGAAGGCATCAAAACTATGAATGAACACATGTGGAGTTATGTACTTAACAAAAAAAGGTGAAATAACTGAAAACATGTTTTATATTCTAGTTTCTTCAAAATAGCCACCCTTTGCTCTGATTACTGCTTTGCACACTCTTGGCATTCTCTCCATGAGCTTCAAGAGGTAGTCACCTGAAATGGTTTTCCAACAGTCTTGAAGGAGTTCCCAGAGGTGTTTAGCACTTGTTGGCCCCTTTGCCTTCACTCTGAGGTCCAGCTCACCCCAAACCATCTCGATTGGGTTCAGGTCAGGTGACTGTGGAGGCCAGGTCATCTGCCGCAGCACTCCATCACTCTCCTTCTTGGTCAAATAGCCCTTACACAGCCTGGAGGTGTGTTTGGGGTCATTGTCCTGTTGAAAAATAAATGATCGTCCAACTAAACGCAAACCGGATGGGATGGCATGTCGCTGCAGGATGCTGTGGTAGCCATGCTGGTTCAGTGTGCCTTTTGAATAAATCCCCAACAGTGTCACCAGCAAAACACCCCCACACCATCACACCTCCTCCTCCATGCTTCACAGTGGGAACCAGGCATGTGGAATCCATCCGTTCACCTTTTCTGCGTCTCACAAAGACACGGCGGTTGGAACCAAAGATCTCAAATTTGGACTCATCAGACCAAAGCACAGATTTCCACTGGTCTAATGTTCATTCCTTGTGTTTCTTGGCCCAAACAAATCTCTTCTGCTTGTTGCCTCTCCTTAGCAGTGGTTTCCTAGCAGCTATTTGACCATGAAGGCCTGATTGGCGCAGTCTCCTCTTAACAGTTGTTCTAGAGATGGGTCTGCTGCTAGAACTCTGTGTGGCATTCATCTGGTCTCTGATCTGAGCTGCTGTTAACTTGCGATATCTGAGGCTGGTGACTCGGATGAACTTATCCTCAGAAGCAGAGGTGACTCTTGGTCTTCCTTTCCTGGGTCGGTCCTCATGTGTGCCAGTTTGGTTGTAGAGCTTGATGGTTTTTGCGACTCCACTTGGGGACACATTTAAAGTTTTTGCAATTTTCCGGACTGACTGACCTTCATTTCTTAAAGTAATGATGGCCACTCGTTTTTCTTTAGTTAGCTGATTGGTTCTTGCCATAATATGAATTTTAACAGTTGTCCAATAGGGCTGTCGGCTGTGTATTAACCTGACTTCTGCACAACACAACTGATGGTCCCAACCCCATTGATAAAGCAAGAAATTCCACTAATTAACCCTGATAAGGCACACCTGTGAAGTGGAAACCATTTCAGGTGACTACCTCTTGAAGCTCATGGAGAGAATGCCAAGAGTGTGCAAAGCAGTAATCAGAGCAAAGGGTGGCTATTTTGAAGAAACTAGAATATAAAACATGTTTTCAGTTATTTCACCTTTTTTTGTTAAGTACATAACTCCACATGTGTTCATTCATAGTTTTGATGCCTTCAGTGAGAATCTACAATGTAAATAGTCATGAAAATAAAGAAAACGCATTGAATGAGAAGGTGTGTCCAAACTTTTGGCCTGTACTGTACATCATCATCATCAGGTAGATACAGGAAGTCTCAGTTAACAATGTTACTGATACTAGTCTTTCTCTAGTCGACTAATGGCCCTAAATGATGACTGTTGGTGGACTAGGAAAATTCTCAGTCAGGGGCATCCCTAAAAAGAACTACTATTGGTGTTCAGCCACTGACACTATCCACAGACAGTCAGTGTGACCACTTCCTGCTATCACACTGCTACTACTATCACAGTAGTGTCCTCAGGAATCAGGTGGATACTGTTCATTTTTTAATGCTTTAAGAACCTGATATTATATACCTGGTGATTTTTTTATATAATTTACATGTGTCTAAGTGGTTAGTGACACATTTTTCTGTGCTGTAACAAACTCATAAAACATTTCTTATTGTTGTACCCTGTAGATCATCTGTTGTCAGTTTATTAGAATAATGGAATGTTCTCAGAGAGCAGCAGGTTGAGAGCAAATAAACGTTTGCTCCTAATGATCTTGGTAACTGCTGATTGGTCAGATCAGCTGAACCCCGCCCATCATGACCAGCAGGTTACAGTGGGTGTGATCATGAAGATGATGATGAGGGGATTGTGGGACTTTGTGTCCCATCTGAACCTGCAGATGAATCCAGCAGGTTTTTACAGATTTACAACAGATGCTTCTTCCTGTGTGGTCTGAAAATAATCCCACCGTCCTGATGTCACAGTTTCCCTCCATATGAGCGTTACATCATCTCGTGTTCACAAAACAACAGCAGGAAGACAGTTTGACTGTCCTCAGGTCACGTGACCATCAGTGGACACACAGTGGACTCTGGCAGCGTTTGGTTTGACTCTAATGTGGATGTTAATGTGCTGTAATGACCTGCTGGGACACCGTTCATCTCCCCATCCCCCGCCATCAGTGTGAGGCGGCTGATCGCAGGTCAGCTCCAGGCCTCAGGGCTCAGAGCCGCATAACTCTGAACTCTCTACTGGAACTACTTTTCCTCTATGACATTAAAAAAACATCAAAACGTTCTCACGGTCTTGGAAAACCTGCAAGAGTCATGAACGTTAGTTGTTGCAGTAATTCTCCTCGGATGATCTTTACGTAATGGAACGTTACCACATTTTTTAATCTGAAGCTGTTGACATAATGTAGCTCTGATACGTATTGCTGTGTGACAATGTTTGTTTTGTGTTTTTTGTGCCTGTTCAAGGCAGAAACGTCACGCCATTACGCTGCCTCGCCGTTCTTTATTAATGGTAAGATCTCAGAGTGTGGGACAGAGTTGTCTCACCTTGTAGCCGGCAGCGGAGGTCGTAACACTGCCGAAATGATGTCTGTATAAGGGGACAGTCGGCAGGACGGATCATGGACAGTAAAGGAGTGACATTTTGACGACGTGTTATGTGTGCGATCCACTGCAGGGGATAAAGTAGCTGAAAAAGTACTAGAAAAAGTAGCTGTTAGCAGTTAGCGGCTAACTCAGAGAATGTCCTTAAAGGGACATTTAGCAGGACGAATTATAGACAGGAGGTGAGGGGTTCAGGAGCCTGTTGGACAGTTGTCTTCATGTGTTCACTTTTTAAAAATGTTTCTGTTGTTTGTTTGTTTGTTTTTCAGGCTGCTGCCCAAACACAAACTCCTCCGTAGGCCAGCAGAGCCATCTCATGGTGATGACATCATCATAGTGCAGAATGACCAGCAGCAGCAGACTCAAAGGTGACAACAGTCTTTACTGTAAATACTGTGTACTAATACTACTATAAATACAACAAACTTTATGTATATTTCAGTATTAATGTCATAAAACTTACTTTCACAAAGTAAAATATCTGTTATTAATCTTTTTCTCCTTATTATGGGATGTTAAATTACTGTCTGCAGCATGTTAAAATAATTAATGTTGTAATGACACCTGACAGGAGTGAAGAGCAGCAGCAGGAGGATCCACATGAGTCCAGATCTGATCCCAGAACAGATCAGAGACCAGGTAGTGAAGACCAGGTGAAACCTCTGCACATCGTCTGGCCTCACAGGTGGTGAGTTACAGTCAGTCTGAAGACTCTAAAATACTCTCATTTATTTACCTTAAAAATTAATCTGAAAATAAAGTCACAATTCAGCAGAAAATATGAACATTGTCAATTATCAGGTCATGATATTATCAAAGTTTTAATTTACAGTAAAAAAAAGTCACAATATAAAAATAAAAGTTGTAAAGTTATAAACCATGATATGAAATAATTTTGTAGTTTACAAGAAAATACCATCATTATTTACTAAATTACATTTGTATACTAAAACAGTAATTATATTCTGAACGTTATTTTATAATAAAAAAAAAGGTATTATGAAAGTAAAGCTGGATGTGTGAGCGTGCACCATTAATCTCAGAGTGAAACAGTATAAATGTCACTTCCTGTCACCTCCGTCAGTTTGATAAATCTGACCTCAGCTCTGAAAATGAGATTACTGGATGCCAGCGGTGTGTTTGTGTTGTTCTTCTTCTGTGGTATCAGTAACTGAAGCAGCCGTCCTGTAATCTGCTCTGAACTGAGAAAAACACAGATGGATTATTGCTTTTATTCTGTCAGAAATGAGGATGTTCTGTTAATCTGTGATTGAAGCTCCTCGTCTGGTTTGTGTTTTAATCTGTGTGTGGCCTGGATCCTCAGATTACAGCTCGTCTTATTGCTGCTGGAGGGGGGAGGAGGGGGGAGGTGAACAGCTGTTTCAGGTGAAGATGCTGCAGCACCGGAGCCTGCAGGGTGGGAGGGGGGACGGGGGATCAGAGGACCGATGTCCTGTTGCTCTGAGCCAGAAAACATCAACAACAAACACAACTCTGTTATTTCAGTTATTTTTACATGGAACTCTGACGTTAATCTTTTTAGTACCTGAATATCACATTTCATCACATACTGCATGGACTCTTTACAGCGAAGTATATTTTATTCAGTGTGTACTAAATAAATATAATGTTTGTTAAGTCAGTATTTTCACAGTAAAGTGCAGTAAAATGTTCATCATCATGCGTTATTATTACGCGTTACAGTAATAATATTGCTTTTCCCAGTAACAAGGGGTGTAGCGAGTTATTCAAATTTTAGTAATAATATTACAGTTACTTACCCCCCAGAAAGTTCGCTACTGCATTACAATGGAGAACAGCTGATATTCCAATACTGTTGTGAGCAGTGAGCACCACTGTCCACCGGACACGATAGTCAGGTGGTAACCATCTTGCAAATAGGGCGATCACCGGTCTTGTTTCAACGGCGTCTAGGGGGTTGGGCGCTTGTTGAGTGTGACATCCTACGCAGCTGCAATAATCAGTGTCGTGCACCAAGGTGGTTCATATTCGATAATAAACTACATTCACGGAGATAAAATAAAAGCGTGATACCGTCTGTCATCGTAGAGAGCACCGTATATTTATTTTTCACCTGCGCACATGTGCATAAATCTCAGTCAGTTTCAGTGGTCAGTTTACCTGCTTTGGCCTATAACTTGACTTATGCTGCCATGTAGTGGCCGTGTGGCGACGTTTCCACTGTAATGATTAAAGCAAACTGAAACGTGACTTTGTCAACAACGCTACACTTTCAAAATCGGGTGGAATACCGGTGCGTTTTTTAATATAACAACCACTTAATACACTGCTGCAGTAAAATGTATATATGTGTATATATAAACCGTTTTCAGATTTCATTCATTTCATGCAGATTAGCCATTTTGTGAAACTGAAAATAGAAAATAGGAACACTGGAAAATAAATGACCGAGATTCACACAGGGGCGTCCTGGGAAAGTAATATATTACATAAGTAACTAGTTACTTTTGGCTGGGAATAATAAGTAAAGTAACGATATTACTTTTAAAAAGGGTAATTAGTAATAAGTAATAGATTAAATTTTTTGAGTAACGAGCCCAACACTGTTCATTATACAGATATTTTATTAAAGCTTAGTATTTTCACAGTCAAGTATTCATCTAACAGATATTTTCACAGTAAAGCGTAGTATTTTAACAGTCAATTGTTCATACAGATATTTTCAAAGTAAAGTGTGGTATTTTCACAGTAAAGTGCAGTATTTTAACAGTAAAGTGTTCATCATACAGATATTTTCACAGTAAAGCATGGTATTTTCACAGTAAAGTGTTTATTGTACAGATATTTTCACAGTAAAGCGTGGTATTTTCACAGTTGAGTGTGATATTTTCACAGTAAAGTGTAGTATTTTCACAGTAAAGCGCCCCTCTGTGTGTTAATGAGACTCCAGTTTGTAGGTTTCAGAGTCACATTGTGAGTCTCAGTAAGTAATATTTGAATTTTAAAAAGCTCGTCTTGGGTTTAACATGAAGCAGAATATTTAATGACTCATCTGTAAATGAGACCATCACTGTTTCTTTCTTTAATTAATGAGCTCTCTGCTGAGCATGCTCAGTCCTCCACACTTCAGCTGCTTTCACTCCTCACCCCACCTTATGTGGATTCACCTTTGAGATCAGGTGATGATGGTGATGATGGTGAAGGAGCACAGAGTGGGAGGCTTGATGGTGTTTTTAAGAATAAAATATGAACAAATAAAATAAAATAAACACACATACAAAATGTTTTTTACCCCGGATGAGCTGTGACATTAATCAATTTATTGTTATTACAACAAAGAAAAAATAAATATCCTGAAATCAGAACAGAACATGTGAAGACATCTCCTCTGACTCTGAGAAACAAACATTATTAACATTATTTTACTACAAGGTCAGTCAGTAAAGAAAATAATTTTCATATTAACAGTGAAACAAATTGTCAGTTGCAGCCGAAAAATTTTGATACAAACTTAAATTTTCAGGATTCAAAGTGAAGATAAAATAATTTTCAGTTTATTAGGAACAGCTCCATCCAACACTCTGTGATGAATCCTCCTTTATTAAGTTCTAATCTTCACTAAAGCAAAGAGTTTCAGTTTACAGAGAAATAAAAGACAGAAAAACTGAAAATGATCTGTTTTCAAAGAAGGTTAAAAAATTCTGAATTAATGGGATAGTCGATTATCAGGATAGTTTCAGATTAATTTCTAATCAATGAATCGACTAATCGTCTTTATTGTTTTTAATGTATTTCTCATATTCGTGAGTGTTTTCTGTTTCTGAATGAGATCCTGACACATTAATTATCACTCTTTTCTCCTGTCAGAGGGGTGAGGAGGGAGAGGAGCAGAGGGGAGGTGATGGGAGCTGTGGTGTTATCTTCCAGTCTTTGTCCTCTCCTGTATCAGAGGGAATAGAGGGGTCGCTCCTCACAGAAGGAGTTAAAAAGGTTTTGTGGAAATGAGGGAATTATCTTTGAGTCCGGAGGGAGGCGAGAAGCTGAGAGCTGCAAATGAGAAGAAATAATATGCTCAGTAATACTTCACCTCAGGAAATCCACCGAGGAGGATCTGCTGCTGCTGCAAACGACTGTTTGACCTTCACACCGTCTCTGCTCACATTATGACATTATATATGTTGTACTGTAATAACAACACTAATGTGGAGACAGCACGGGCTGTATTGTTGGATCAGACCACCAACCAGGCGCCTCGTAAACACAAAGACAAGATAACAAACAGGCAGGGAACATCTGAAGAAAAACGTGAAGAAGAGGAGAAAATAAAACACCAACTTAGATTTCTAATAAAGACAAACATAGTCACCTGTAACTCGTTCTCCTGATTCATCATCATGTCACACATGAATCATGTTTCATCCACATATTCAGTCCAGTTATTCCACCTTTTTGTTTAACGTCAACACAACTCAACACTTCCTGTAGATTCTTCACATTAAAAGCCTGCCAATAATAACAAGGCTGTAATACCTTTAATGTGAAAAATGTGCAGGAAGAATTTAGTTTCACTGATGGCAGTTTAACATCACCTGGAAAATATGGAAATGTTAAAGGACTTAAATCAGGTGTATAAATGTAAATGTGACAAATTTGTTAGCAAAAACAAAATTACTTCAATTATTTAAAATTTATTTATTTTATTAGGTTGCATTAGATGTGTTACTGGGAGCTCTTAAGCATCACCTGGAACTTAAAGAGCCCACATTTTACCAAATTTGTTCTTACTAAAATTTACCAAGTATTTATTTAAAGTTTTACAGAATTCACCCCAATTTTGGTTTAAACCAAATTTGTTCTTTCTAAATTTACCAAGTAATTAATTACAGTTTTAAAAAAAAGTTAAAAAAAAGTTTCAGATTACCCAAAATTTGGTTTAAATCAATTTGTTCTTACTAAAATTTACAGAGTATTTAATCCCAGTTTTACAAAATTCACCCAAAATTCGGTTAAATTCAAATTTGTTTTTATAAAATTCCACTTAGTGTTTTATTAAAGGTTTATAAAAAATACTTAAAAGTTAGTTTAACCCAAATTTGTTCTACTAAAATTTACCAAGTGTTTAATTAAAGTTTTACGAATTTCACCCAAAATTGTTTGGAATTCAAATTTGTTTTTACCTGTCTGTTTGTATGTCATTCTGTCTGTCTGTCTATCTGCAGGGAACATGATAAGGACCCTGACCTGTTCTTCTCCACTCTGATCAAACTGAAGGAGAGACAAGTCGACTTTCATCTGTCGGTGCTTGGAGAGACTTTCACTGATGTGCCAGGTACAAACACACACACATTTATAACACACAAATTAAACATGCCCATGTCAAAGTAAAAACAAATATATATATATTTACACTGCCACACCGCTACATAAATGGATTTATTGGTCTTAGATACCCCAAAGAATCAGTTAATGTAGAGCGAAGTCATTGATGAATGTTTGCAGCAGCTCACTGAGTCTTGACACATAGAACAAAAGGCAGCTCTGAAGGCTCAAGGGTCCAACCTGGTACTGGCACCATGTTTACACAATCAAAGAAGTTCTAAAGCAGCAATAACTAAATTAACATCTGTTAGATTCAAGTTTGTTTCATACATTTTGTTTGTATGTATTTTAAATTGTGTTTTTTCCTACAGTTTGTCCTTATGTAAATTTTGTTGTCACGTAACATTTGTCTGTACCTAAAAATTGCTCTTACTGAAAACTTGACTCTTACCTAAAATGTGTCCTTATGTATATTGTGTTATTCAGTAACATTTGTTTGTACCGAAAGTATTGCCCAAAATTTATTCTTGCCTAAAATTTGCTCTTACCAAAAAAATTATCAAAAAAATTGTTACCTAAAATATGTTCTTGCCTAAAATTTATTTTACCTAAAATATGTTATAATGTTATATATGTTCTTACCTTCAATTTGTTCTTATCCAAAATATGTTCTTGCCTAAAATTTGTTTGAAGCAAAAAAAAAAAAAAGTTTTGACTAAAATTTTATTTCTTACCAAAAGTTTGATCTTACCTAAAAAAATTGTCCTTGCCTAAAATTTGTTTTTACCTAAAATATGTTCTTACCTAAAGCTTCGTTCTTGCAGACGTTATGAGAATAAACATAATACCATATACAGGTGTGCAGTACAGGTAGATACCCAGTCGTACTGGTAACAGCAGTAAGTTAATGGTCGCCGAAGCCGCAGACTGTTTGGTTCTGAGGTTCTTCATCACATTAATCTGATGAAGTTTGGAGCTGCTCTGACTTTTCTTTAACCTTTAGAGACTTGATGTTTTACTGCAGTCTCAGTTTCTGTGTTATTAGATTCTGCAGAGGTCAGAGGTTGTCAGGACACTTTTTAATTGATAAAACACACCGTGTATCATCAGCTGATGATGCTATAATGACTCTGTGTGTACGAGTGTGTGTGCGTGTGTGTGTTTTAACGTAATGAACACACTCTGATCAAACACACTCTGAGATATTGAGACGTAAAGTTTTACTGCAGCATAAACACACTGACCGTAAATTCAGCTTCATATTCTCTGATTAGCTTTATGAGTGCTGGGAAGGCAATCACATTAGGACAATTTTAATCGACTTTGATTTTGTTAATAGGGTCAGAGTATTGATTATTTTCACCCCTCACCTGTTTTTCTTTCTGCTCCAGTCATAAACGTCCACATTCATAAACGTCTGGCTTTTTTTTAAAAACGTCTCTCGGTCTCATTCTCTCTATTTATTCCTGGTCGGTCCACACAAAACACTTTTTTTATTATTTATTAAACCTCTGAGTTTATGAGTTTATTAGAAAGAAAACCCTCATTACATATATCATCATATTAATAATAATATATAATTCCATTTACATTTAATCTCCTTTGTCTAATTAATATTTTCTTTCCTTTATGGCGTCATTGTCATCTGATATTATGCCTCTTATTTTATTTAATATTAGAAATGAAGTACAACTTATTTACTTGCAGCCTGCACACAAAAACAAATAAGGATGATAATGATAAACAGTTTTAGAGGCTAAAAGAAAAATCTTTAGTTTATGTTGGTGGTAGTTTTATTTCTGTACAAACATGTGATGATGCTCACTAGGGCTGCTCCAGACTAAGAATATTCCTAGTCGACCAACAGTCATCATTTAGAGCCATTAGTCGACTAGTCTCCTGCATGTTAATGATATTAATTTAGTTATTAAATGATATATTTTGGTGGTTTGAGTTGAAGGTGTGAGAAAGAATAGTATCAGTAACATTGTTAACACTGTGCTACATTACAGAGAAATACAAAACCGTACTAATGAACCTTCATTAATATAGGCCTATATTTTATCTCCAAGTGCACGTCACACACTGAGCGAGCCGCCTGTTAATGACGCTGTGGGCTAATGGGCATGTAGCTACTTCCATGTTTCAGATGATACGTCATGTTTGTAGTCGACCAATGAAGATGAGTTTACATATCACCTTGGGTTCGTCCTTCACCTTCTCAAAATGATCCCACACTTTGGATTTCCTGCCCGTGGAATAACCGCAGGTACCAGCCCTGGAAATTAACCTGACTCCTGTCTGACTGCTGAGCGTGGACACTTCCTGTGTCTGTCCTTTCAAAATAAATTCCCACATGGTCCAGTCATATATAGTTTGATTTATTTTGACAAGGTGCAGTTCCTAATAGAGTTTCGTGTTTGTTGTTTTTTCTGTGACTAAGCGACCAATGAAATCTTGCCGACTAATGACCTTTCTGGTCGACTAACGTTTGGTCGACCATTAGGGGGCAGCCCTAACGCTAACTGAGTCATTAAAGTTAATTATTGAAACAGAATCCTTTTATAACATGAACATCTTGTCGTTAATGTTAAAACTGTGAATGTGATGTCATCAATCTCAGTGAGCTGACGTTACCTGGTGACCGACTCACCTGTACGTCTCTTCTTCTTCGGCTGCTGTCTTCCTGCAGAGATCTTCTTGGAGGCCAGGCGTCTGCTGGACGGTCACATACTGAACTGGGGTTTCCTGTCCTCCAAAGAGGATTACCTGCGAGTGCTGAGTGAGGCTGACGTGGTCATCTCCACAGCCAAACACGAGTTCTTTGGAGTCGCCATGTGAGTTTAATTCACCGCCATTTATCTCATGATTGTTATTGTCAATAATAAGTAATGATTTGTCATTTTAACTGAAAATAATAACGATAATAATAAGGATAATAAAATAATTCCTGTTAAAGTTGGTCTCTGAGCTCAACCACAGGAGGTTTACAAAACTCAACTAAGCAACATGTCTTAAACTCGAAGCGTGTCACCTGAGTGTGTCACCTAGCGAAGCCTCAGACTCTTTATCTTTACATCATGTGGTGCCTTTAATGATCAGACGAAGGTGTCCTCCTCTGAAGGAGACCTGGCAGAGACCTGCAGGTGGACTCAGCCTGTGAACCAGACTTCAGTCAAACTTCAGTCACCTGAACTCTGCTGGTAGCTTCAGGCTCAACAACAGCAGCCAATCAAACGGCTGTGTGAGGCGGTCAGGCTGCAGTCTGATCGTCTGATCTTCACCTGATTCATGTTCACATATTTATTTATTTATTTATATCTGAGGCTTCACTCCAAGAAAACACTGTCATGCATATAAATACATTCAGTCAGACAAAAACAAAAAATGACATGATTTAATAATTAATTACATTTAACTAATAGAAATAAATAAAAATAAATGAGAAAAGAACCCAGAAATAAAATTATTTAATAAATATAAATACATTGAATTGAAAAATAACACAGAAATAAAATAACAAATAGATGTAATAAAATTCTTAGATACTTAAAATGAAAACATAAAAAAGAATAAATGAAATACCTATAATACATTGCAAAAGAACTCCATAAATTAAATTATGAAAGGCGTCAATTTGAATATTTTCTCTTGAAACATTGTTCGAAAAGTTTAAGTACTGCCAGATGTTGAAGTGGTTCAAATGATCTGGATGTTAGCAGGGTAGCATTGTGCCACTAGCATGTTAGAATACACAGGAGCCGTTTGAAGTCACATGTTAGCATGCTTTGCTAGCAGAGGATGACAGAAGAAGCGATGGACTAAGGTCATTAATTAAACAATGACTGCAGTTAATTAGAGAATAAAAGTTTTAAGGTCAGGAAGCTGCAGGTGGTGCTGTGGTCCATGAGAGTAGGAGCAGCATCGTGTTGACATCCTGCAGGGTGTGAGTCAGGGCCTAGTTATCAGAGTTAGCATCCACAGTGAAGCTAACAGCAGTGACGTGTTGACATGTGTTGGACATGTGTTCTACAGTTAGCAGAGTTAGCGTCCACAGTGAAGCTAACAGCAGTGACGTGTGTTGACAGGTGTTGCGTTGGACTACAGTTAGCAGAGTTAGAGTCCACATTGAAGCTAACAGCAGTGACGTGTGTTGACAGGTGTTGTGTTGGACTACAGTTAGCAGAGTTAGCGTCCACAGTGAAGCTAACAGCAGTGACGTGTGTTGACAGGTGTTGTGTTGGACTACAGTTAGCAGAGTTAGCGTCCACAGTGAAGCTAACAGCAGTGACACGTGTTGACGTGTTGTGTTGGACTACAGTTAGCAGAGTTAACGTCCACAATGAAGCTAACAGCAGTGACGTGTTGTGTTGGACTACAGTTAGCAGTGTTAGCAGAGTTAGCAGTATTAGCATCCACAGTGAAGCTAACGGTGACGTGTGTTGGATACAAATGAATAATCAGAGTATTATTTATGTGATGCGACGACACACTGTGATAATGAAGTCATGAGCTAATTATAGCAGAGAAGAGAGGAAGTGTTGTCCCTGAGGATGTAAGGGGGGTGTTTGATCCAAAACCAGGAGGGACCCCCCCACCCCCACAGCGCTCTGCTGCTCTGTGCTGTTCATACAAACAGTGTGTTTCTGAAGGTTTACTTTAACATGTTCAATATTAACACGGTGCTCTGTCAGAGCGGAGAACACAAAATGGCTGCTATAATATTATTTTATTATCATTACACTGCATCATCATGTACTATTATATTTCAGTGTTTCTATATTAACACCACAGCTTATAAAAGCTCCAGCTCAAATTTACAAAATAAAAGCTCCAGCTCACATTGAGCCTGTCATCATGTCCTCTGTCAGAGTAGAAACAGTAGAATCAGTGAGTGTTGCTGAGGTGTCGGCAGAGTTTCATCCTCATTATTGCTGAAATCACTTTAATGTGATTAATGATGATGATCAGTGCCCCTCGGTGACGATGAAGTCATTCACATCATTCTGTCTAATTCAGATCACAGCACTACAGTGACCTGAATAATCCAGATCAGACACATTCAGGAGCCTGACATATCACAGCTCTGTATGTTAATCACAGTACAGCTGCAGTCACATCTGTTTGAATAGGACGAGGAGACCCAACACTGATAAGTTATTGATCAACACAGAATATTTAAATATCAGGGGTCACTGCAGCTCAGTGTTTCAAGACTTATTCAGTGAGTCACATTAACAGCATATGTTCTCACATGTTGTATCTGTACAAACCACAAATGGTGAACTTGCTCGTAAAAAAAGTTTTGTTTTTATTCTTCAGTTTTGGACAGATCAAACATACCAGATATTACAGATATAACTAAGCTAAGCTAACTGGCTGCTGGCTGCAGCTTCATATTTAATGTACAGACATGAGAGTGGTATCAGTCTGAACATCTGACTGTCAGAGAGGAAGAGATGAGGTGAACTGTTTCTTTATTTGCTGTTGTTAATGACCTCCTCAGATACTGAATTGAAAACATTTTTACATGTTAAAACTTAAATTTTATAATGTTTTACAGGTTAGAGGCGGTTCATTGTGGCTGTTATCCTCTGTGTCCGAAGGCTCTCGTGTATCCCGAAATATTTCCAGGTAATTAAAACCTGATTTTAAAGTGAAGTCTGGTTCAATAATAGTGGGACATGCAGTTTCACTTTCTTCTTCTCTGGTCTCCAATACAGCAGAGTACCTGTACTCCACACCTGAGCAGCTCTGTAAACGGCTGCAGGGACTTTGCAGGAGGCCCGACGTCGTCCGCAGACACATTGTCAAGGTAACCAACTGAAAATGAAGACTTTAAAATCAGAATGATCCAAATCCGAGCAACAAAGAGGGAGATATCCTGACTGTTAGTCCTAAAACACTGCATACTATGCTTCCCATGATGCATCGGGATAGTGTCTTTTAACCAAAGAGTTTCAAATCCAGTTAGCCTAGAGTTAGCTTCTAGTTTCAGTTAGCTTAGAGTTATCTTCTGGGTCCAATTAAACAAGAGTTAGTTTTCAGATCCAGATAGCATAGAGTTTGCTTCTAGGTCTAGTTAACTGAAATTAGCCTCTAGATCCAGTTAGCATTAGCGAGTTATACTGCGTTCCATTTGCACTGGAAAGTTGCAATTTTCGAGTTCCCAGTCTAAAATTTAAATTGCATGCCCCCTAAAGTTGGATTTCCAACTTGTATTTGGGATCTCACCACATCCAACCTCAGAATCCAATATGGCTGGCTTGTGTATTAATAGTTGTGAAAGCCGCAGTCATAAAGTATATCAGCAATTCTGTTTCATTTCTGTCTCTTTAAAAAGTCTTACACAGACCTGTCCAACTTATACCTGTGGACGTGTTGCTAGAGTGTTTTATGTGCCAAATACAGCATAGTGTGTTCTTATCAACTGGTATCCCTAACAATGGCTAATCTGGCTAGAACAGGTATTGCCTACAACATCTTGGTTTTTCCGGCTAATTGTACCGGAACACGTCAACTCAGGTGTGACGTCATTCTCAGCTCCAACCATCGACTTTGGAGGTAAATGGAATTTGGTAATAGCTTCTAGATCCAGGTGGCTAAAATTAGCTTCTACGTCCAATTAGCTTAGACTTAGCTTAGAGGTTCAGTGAGCTTAGAGTTAGCCTCTAGGTCCAGTTAGCTAGGAGTTAGTCTCTAAGTCCAGTTAGATAGGAGTTAGTCTCTAGGTCCAGTTAGCTAAGAGTTAGTCTCTAGGTCCAGTTAGCTAAGAGTTAGTCTCTAGGTACAGTTAGATAGGTCCAGTTAGCTAAGAGTTAACTCCTAGGTCCTGTTAGCTTATTGGTCCAGTTAGCTAAGACTTCACTTCTACGTCCAGTTAGCTTAGCCTTAGCTTATAGATCCACTTTGCTAAGAGTTAGTCTCTGGGTCTTGTTAGCGTAGCTTCTGGGTTCAGTTAGCACTCCAGTTGGCACTAGAAGCTAGCTGGAGCTAATATTCTGTGTAGTTGGTTCTCCAACATTTTGAACTGTCCCTTTAAGCTTGTTAGATTTAATAAATGTGATCTTCTTCTGTTCTTCAGGTTGACACCTCCGCCTTCTCCTGGACATCTCTGAAGGAGCGTTATGAGACTCTACTGGCAGCTGAGTGTCCCTGAATGCACCGTGGCAGCTCGGACCAGGGTAATCTGCCCTCATTAGCTTTGATGTCCCCGAACGCACTATGGCAGCTCAGACCCGGGCACTCTGCCTTCATTAGCTCTGGAGTCCCTGAACACACCGCGGACCCGGGCACTGTGCCTTCATTAGCTCTGGAGTCCCTGAACACACCGCGGACCCGGGCACTGTGCCTTCATTAGCTCTGGATGGTTTGGAGGTTGTCGTCATGCCTGACTCTGCGCCATGTCCCGCAGAAAGCGGCGGTGACTTCCAGCCAGAGCGTCTCAGGCACCTCTGAGCCCAGAATCAAAGGCAGCACGGCGGGCCGGAGACGCCGAGTCTGGACCTGTAAACGTCCCCGTCCTCTCGCTCTCTTTTATGTCTGTGGTTTGGGTGGAGGAGGGGGGGTTAACGTGTAAAAGCTTTCATGTTTCCACAGGCGGTGCCACCTCATATATCCGGCTGGATCCATTTTTACCCTTTGTGCTGTTGTGGTGGTGTTGTTGACCACAGAGACTGAGCGGCAGCCAGGCTGTGGTTTGTGTCTGTAGCCCCACCTGAGCTGCAGCCAGGTTCACTCCGAGACACACTTAAACACTCCACAGAGAAACAAACTGCAACTGGAACATAAATAAGATTTTATCAGACATGTTTCTGATCAGCTCACTGCTGCCTGTTCAATAAGGTGTCCGTTCAAAAATGAAAAAGTATAAACCAATAATTTAAATATTAAACAGGTAATAAATGATGTTCAGTCCTCAGAAGCTGCAGCAGCTCGTCTCATCACTAAGAACTGATCCTGGCTCAGTTTTCTGTCTTTGCGTTTGAAGTTAAGATGTGTGAGCAGCTCACAGCTCCAGGCCTCAGGTCAGTGATCCAGCTCCTGCAGCTACAGACCAACCAACCACTGTGTGTTTATAACTGACCTCAGGTCAGAGGAGAGAACGCTCTAATCACACTTTGATCCACAGCGACAGCAGCAACGCCACTGAGCACGCTCAGACGCCTCAACCAGAACCTCCTCAGACCGTCCTCTCAACACAACAGTCCTCCCTGAGCACACTCAGACCCCCACAATTCTGCCACTAAAGGGTAGCATTGTGAGATGTGTAGAGTCAACATGTTAACACACACACACACAGTGAACGTGTGTATTAACAGGCCAATGAAAAGCTTTAATGCTTCTGTGCTTTATGAAATCGGCAGTAAAAACTTTATTAGTCTCAAGTTGTTCTGGAGGTTTACGATGTCATTAGGTCGTGACCTCAGTTCCACGCTGATGTCACTATCGACCTGTGTGGTGGTTACAGACTGTACTACAGCTTCATTGTACACACTGTGAAGCTAACTGGACTGTGAAGCTAACTCTAAGGACTTTGAAGCTAACTCTGAGCTAACTAAACTTTGAAGCTAATTCTGAGCAATCTGAACTTTGATGCTAACCCTAAGCTAAGTGGACTTTGAAGCTAACACTAAGAACTTTGAAGCTAACTCTTGATTTAACTGAACTTCAAAGCTTACTTTGAGCTGACTGGACCTAGATGCATACGCTGAGCTAACTGGAATTTGAAGCTAACACTAGGGACTTTGAAGCTAACTCTGAGTTTACGGAACTTTAAAGCTAACTATGAGCTAACGGGATATTGAAACTAACTAGGTCTTTGAAGCTAATCCTGAGCTAACTGAACTTTGAAGCTTTCCCAAGGCTAAGTGGATTTTGAAGCTAATAGGAGCTAACTGGACTATTAAGTTAACTCTGAGATAACTGGACCTAGATGCTAACTCTGAACTAACAGGACTTTGAAGCTGACTCTGAGGTAACTAGACTTTAAGGCTAACTCTGAGCTAACTGGACTGTGAAGCTAACTGAGCTAACTGAGCTAACTGGACTTTCAAGCTTTCTTTAAGCTAACTGGACTTTTAAACTAACTAAACCTAGAGTATCTGTCAGTTTAGTTTATTTGCAGGTTAAATTCAAACAAACACCCAAAGAATGTTTTAAACCATTGAGTAGGGAGAGGGAAAAAATGTGTGTTTATTGATAACCTTGACATGGTTCATGATTGCTACTATAGATCTGCTCTGAGAAACATTTTTAACCAAAGGAGAACAAGAGTTCTGTTAGTGAACAAAAGCCTCTAATGTATTTTGGCTGGTTATTGTTGCTGTAGTGCTTTGTCAGTTGACCCAGTTACATGTTTGTGAGGACCATGTGTGTGTTCAGAGCAGCTGTTTGTTTATTAACAGACACACAGACACAGTCTGCTGCAGGTGAAACATTTCACCTAAGGACGACATCATCACCTTCACCTGGTCATGTGACACCGTGTGATGCTGTTTTTAAAAATGGTCATGACAATAATTAATACAGAAAATTAATCAATCAGTATTTTGATAAGGTTTTATTGATTTTATTCATTTTCAAACAAAAACATTTGAACCAAAGTGTTTTTTCTTTACAAACTGTGCAAATAAATAATTTTATTTTAAAGAGAGAAGAAAACATTTAGGAAATAATTATTTAAGAGAAATAAGAGAAATGTGTGTGAAACAATGAAGAGCACGTCTAGAATATGTGTAGCCATGAAATGATGTGGTTCAATGTGAGTTTGTAAAGAAATGAAAGTTGTGTTCCAGCAGCGTCTGAGAGAAGAGAAATGTATAAAAGCAGAGCAGCAGTTTGGTTTGAGGCTTTTCTGAAAACTGCTGGATTATCAACAAAGAACAGCGACATTAATTTCACGCTTGAGGAGCGAAGCTGGTTTCTTCCTGTCAGCTCTGCAGCGCTCTGATTGGCCCTCAGACACCTCCAGCATCAAACACACAGAGGTAAGGATGTGTGATTATTAATATTAATATTTCCCACTGACATCTGATGGACCTGATGTCCCATCAACTTGTCTCTTCATTACACTACAGCAGCTTCATTAGCATCACGACTGTTTAACAGTCAAACACAAAGTGTTTTTCACCAGATTACGTTTGTTAACATCAGAATCAAAGCAGTTCTCTGTGATGCTCCTGTGTTTTCTGATGTTGAATATAGCTCATATCTTAACACTGCTAATTAGCTTAGTGAGGGTCTTCCCAGGGGACAGTTCTGCTCTTAAGTCTCAATAATGCTGCTCTGCTAGCTGATGTTTGATAACCCTGCTAATGCTACATTAGCTTTGTCTCTTGTTAGCTTTTCCTGGTCCACTACTCACTGTGAAGTTGTTGGATCGTAAGTAGCTTTCCCTGCTTATGTTAATGTTAGCTAGCTTACCCTGTTGGCCTAGCTTTAGATCCTGAATGCTGATTGTTTAGTCGCTAATGTAGCATTTACTTTACTCAGGTAAGTTTGATTATTACCACCGTTTGACAAAACCCAGGATAAGAAAACAAAGTATTACATTAAAGGTGCAGTTTAAATTATACTAATTTTGTTTTTGAAGCTTTGTGCCCTGTTGTTGTGTATGAACTGGTAGCTTAGCACTGTCAGTGCCAGCTTTTTTGCCTTGTCGTAATGTTTGAGTGCTGGTTGCTAGGCCCTGCTATGCTAGCTTTGTGCCCTGTTGTTGTATTTGTATTGGTAATTTAGCCCTGCTAATGCGAGCTTTATGCCCTGTTTTCATGTATGAACAGCTAGCTTAGCACTGTAAATACTAGCTTTGTGCCCTGTTGTCGTGTATTTACTTGTAGCTTAGCACTGCTAATGCTAGCATTGTGCATTGTGCCAAGGCACAATGCTAGCATTAGCACTGCTAATGCTAGCATTGTGCCTTGGCGTAATGTTTGAGTGCTGGTAGCTAGACCCTGCTTATGCAAGCTTTGTAGCCTGTTGTGTTTGACTTGGTAGCATGCCATTGCTAATGCTATCTTTGTGTCCTTATGTTGTGTGAGCTGGCAGTTAAGCACTGCTAATGCTAGCTCTGTGCCCTGTTGTTGTATTTGAACTGGTAGCATAGCATTGCTAATGCTAGCTTTGTCCCCGGTTGTAACGTTTGAGTGCTGTTAGCTAGGCCCTGCTAATGCTACCTTTGTGCTGTTTTGTTGTGTATAAACTGGTAGCTTAGCACTGCTAATGCTAGCTTTGGGGCCTGTTGATATAATGTGTGAGTGCTGGTATCTTAGCCCTGCTAATGTTAGCATTGTGTTGTGGTAATTGATGTCAGATTGCTGGTATCTTAGCCCTGTTAATGTTAGCATTGTGCTGTGGTAACTGATGTCATATTGCTGGTAGCTCAGCTAATATTAGATTACCTCTGCACAGTTGAATGCCTTTACAAACTAGCAGTCTACGACAGAGAATAATAATAAAGTCATCCCCTCCGGCGGCCCCCCCACAGTGGGCTGCTTTGTCACACCTGCCCCCAGCCTTTGATAAATCTCTCTGTACACTCCCCTGGATGAGGAAACATGGCTGTGTTTAAACGTGTTTAAATAAATGTGTGTTTTTGATGTGGAAATGTAATTTAGGCAGTTTTGTACAGTGAGCAGCAGAAATGAAAGGAAACCTTAACCATCAGCATCAAAGCGACTGCACGACTGTCAGCCGCTGTCCTGGGATTTACTTAAAAATTCAGCACTTGAAAGATCCATTTTTAAATGAAGGCCAGCCTCAGTTTTCCATGCAGCTTCAGAAGAAGACGCCCCTCCCCGGAGACATTACAGCATTAAAGGTGCCGTAATTAGCCGAGCGAGCTGCCAGCTCCACATTAGCTTTTTACCGCTGCCATATGTTAGCTGCTGCTCGCTCAGTCGCCGGTGTGTTGGTGAGGGGACGAGAGCAGAGAGAGGAAAGAGACAGGGCTGTCCTCGTGTGACTCAGTCATATGCTATCAATATGCTGCCATGTTTTTAATGGGCCCTCTGGTTAGAACGTGGCACGCCTTGACTCTGCCTCCACGTCTTTTTCATTTGATTTTCTCCTCTAAGTGAGGCAGCAGGCAGACGTCCATCACCATGACTCTCCTCCTCACTCCAACACACAAACTCAGCGGTCTGCAGTTATTATATGAAATAGCTGCTTGGAGGTTTGGCTCCATGAAGCGGGCCAGAAAACACTGAGGAGTTCTGCAGGAGACTCAGACTGTACTGCACCAAAATACTACAGTCAGACCGTCACTGTGGAACATGTTACACATCAGATGTCAACATGTTAACACGACTGTTCACATACACACTGTGTGTTCATGTAGTAACTTTATAGTTTTAAATTAACAACAGCTCGCTCACTGTGAGGATCAGCATTTATAATAGGCTAAAATATAATATTAACCCTTTAAACACCAACATTCTGCAGACAGCTGTGGGAGGTCGTCCTGTATATATTGATCTAAAATAAAAACCGTGATAACTAGAACATTAAATCTTTTTGCAGCAGAGCGGTCAGGCTTCTGTCTTCCCTGTCATCATGTCGTTCACTCGTGATGATGTCACTGCACTACATTATGTGTGGTGCAAAAACACGCAGAGGAATGAATGATAAATCTGTCATCACGCCGCTTCACTCTGCTCATAGAAATGATCATATCTCAAAAACTATATAATGTTCATAGTTCAGATAAGTTATGGAGATAAATATTTTCTTTACCTTTCTACATTTAGAAGTCTTACGCAGTGTTTAAAAGCATGAGCATTAGTACTGCATTATACATGAGATACAAGATACAAATATTAGCATCTTTACATGCTGTTACGTGGTCAGATTTGTACCGTATATGAAAACGATTTCATGTCAACATCAGTAGGTTTTGGATCTCCTTAGATAGAACAGAACAGAAAGCTTTATTGTCATTATATATTAGATATGATATGATAAACCTTCATTATAATTTCTTTATAAATACATTATGATTCGTTATGTAATAGATATGTCGGCCATTTATCAGAGTTTTTTTTTAAACACAAACGGAAACTTTTCTCAGCAAAAAATAAACTGAGGTGCAGAGAGCTGATCCCCCTCCCCCCACCACCCTCCTCCTCCTCTTCTTCTTCTTCTCTGGTGAGATTTAGTGAAACACTCGAACCACAAAAGCCTGTTTAAGTCTGTCACTTTCCCATCGTTCCCAGTCCTGTTGCCAAACCCTGAGACATCTGATTTAGGGAATAATAAAATACAGAAAAATGGTTTCCCCATAATTACAGAGTCTCTTATCTCGGCACGAGAGACGGGGAGAAGAAAAGACTCAGCGTCGTCGTCAGCCTTTAAACGGATATAAAAAGAATTTGAAAGTGTTTCTGGATGATTTGAACCTGATGTTGTTTCACTGAGACGCAACGCTGACTGAGCAGCTTTCTGACTCTTAAACATTATGTTCCTGATAATAAGTATGTGTTCTGAAACTATGGTCAGATTCCGCCAGGAATTAGCATTTATACATATCCTGGGCTTTGTTTTGGATCCTTTCCTTATTAGTCAAATTAATTCCCAAAGAGGCGTTCCTGCAGTAAAAGTGTCCCGTATGTCAGTGTTCATATAAATACTGATCATGTCAGCTCCACGGTTCATCGGCTGGACAACACATGATGTTAGTCACACGTGTGATTACTGTATAACTATGTTAATCTGTATCTGTACACAACTGTGACTCAGTACATGAGTCTGTACATATCTCTGTGACTCCACATTTAACTCTGTGACTCTTTATGTAAATTAACTCCATGACTCTATGCATAATCCTGTGACTTGGTACGGAAGTTAATTCTCTGAGTCCGTCCGTAATTCCTTGACTCTGTGCATAACTCTTTGACTCCGTACGTTAATTAACTCTGAGTCTGTACAACTAACTTACTTAACTCTGTGACTAGGTACATAAATTAACTTAATGACTCCATGAATCTGTGCGTAACACTAGGACTAGTATGTAAACTAACTCTGTGACTCTGTTAATAACTCCATGATGCCGTATGAACTTTGTGACTTAGTATATAAATTAACTCCACGAGTTTGTGTAACTCTGATTCCGTACATAACTCTGTAACTAACGTTACTCATGACTCGGTATGTTCATTTACTCTCTGAGTCTGTACGTTACTCCATGACTCTGTACGAACTACGTGACTCCATAGTTAACTCTGTGCATAGGTGCGTAAATTAACTTTTTTACTCTGTACACAACTGCTTGACTCAGTACATAATTTAACCCCATGATTCAGTATATGACTCTGTACATAAGGTAACTCTCTTAGTCCGTATGTAACTCTGTGAATCTGTGCATAACTCTAGGACTTGGTACGTTAATTAACTCTCTGAGTCTGAACGTAACTCAAATTTTCGTGTTGCATTCGAATATAGAATATTTTGTGTTGACTGGCCTCATGCATGCGAATAACTTGTGTCGTACGTGTGAATCGATGAACAAACTTCTCGTCCTCTGTCA